AAACACGGAAAGGAAATTACAAAATCTCCTACAGAAGGTAGCGACGGAGAGTGAGAAGAAAGGACTAAGCATAAACTACAAGACAAAATTCATGGTCATCAGTAAAAGGATGAGCCGGAAATACGATTTGCAGGTCGGGAACACTAGAATCAAGCAAACGCGGAAGTTTAAATATGTGGGAAGCGTTTTGACAAAAGGCGGTAAGTGCGACACTGAGATCCGTAAACGTATCGGGATGGCCAAGGACCCATTCCAAAAGCTGGGGAGAGACAGGGGTATATCTTTGGTAACAAAGAAAAGGATACTGAGTTGTTACGTGACATCTGTCCTTCTTTACAGCAGCGAATGCTGGACGATTTCCTGAAAGACGAAGAAGAGACTCGAGGCGACAGAGATGTGGTTCTACAAAAGGATACTAAGGATATCATGGACCGAGCGTGTGAGCAACGATGAGGTCTTAGATCGGTTGCAAACAAGGAGGAGGCTCATACTTAACAGCAGGAAGAGGCAGCTAAAGTTTCTGGGACAATAATGAGGAAAGAGAGCCTGGGAAATCTGATACTCACGAGTCGAATAGAGGGAAAGAGAAACAAAGAAAAACAACGCGAGACATACCTGGCGGACTTAAGTAAGTGGATAACAGAACGTGGTCTGGGGGAGGAAACAGAGGAAAGAACTTGTTGAGAGCTGCAAGGGATAGAGGGAGGTGGAGAGCCATGATCGCCTACGTCCTGAAAGGACATGGCACATAAAAAGAAAGAGATCAAAATAGATTTTGTCTTCTATCCCTTTTTTGCCTTCGATATGTCCCATGAATGTCAAATTCTCTTTTTTCATTCTTTCCTCATTATGTGTCAAATAAAATTCAGCTGTTTCTTTCTAATTCTGAGTATAAGTATCCTTTTTGTTTCGTCTTTCCTCAATATTTCCTTCCTTGTTTATATTCTCCGTCCATGGTATTCGCAGTATCCTTCTGTAGAACCACATCTCTGTTTGTCGCTTCCAGTCTTCTTTTATTCTTTGGGAAATTGTCTAGCCTTCACTGTCATATAGGAGGATTCATATTACATAGTAGAAGTCCAGCACCCATTTTTTTTCTTTCTAACGAAATTTTCCTGTTTCTTATTACTTTACTTAGCATGTGAAATACATCTTTTGCTATCCCAATGCGCATTTGGATTTGGGAGTCACATTTTTCACACTCTGTTAAAACATTTCTCAGATATTTAAACTTCTGTAGTTATTCGATTTTGGCATCTCCCAATTGTAGTTTACATCTTGGGCTTCTTCGCTTGCTGATAACGATACATTCTGGCTTCTTACAAATTAATGTTTTAGTCCTTTCATTTACTACCTTGTCTAGGAGGTCCTTCAGTTTTCCTTCTGTGCCTGCCATCAACACAGTGTCTTCTACGTATCTTGTATTGTTAAGATTGCTCCCACCGATATTGTAAAGACTTCAACTCACATAGGATGGCCTCGCTGTAGACGTTGTAGTTCTGTGATAGTCTGAGTTTTGTAAATAAATGTTACACAATTCAAGGGCACATCCATTAATTGTGTTATATCAAATCTCCCGGTTTCAATCAAATATAAAAGATTTATATTAAATAACCTAAATTCTTCCTTTCTTATTAAGGAAGTATATTGATACTGTTTCACCAAAACATCTAAATCGTATATACAGGGAGCGATGGATACGTTTTCGCCTAAATTACACAAAAATGAAATCAATACTGCCTTCTCATTTTAACAGATATATTTACCAACATTACATAAAAATATCTTGAAATACTAAAGAGTAAATTTATTTAATAAAATCGTCTCTTGGCTATAACCACGGCCTCCAGACTCGACTTCGGAAATTTCTGCAACTCTTCTGGACGATCTACTTGTTTAAGTTGTTGAATGCTGCCATAAGCCCGGACTTCAGTTCATCTTTGGTTTTACAATGAATTTTGTTGGTCTCTCGCTTAATTGTGTTCCACATATAATAAACAAGGTGTTGCAGTCTGGGGTTTAGATAGCCAGATATAAGGGGTAATGTAGTCGCAGAAATTGTCTGAGAGCCATGACTGGGTTCTCTTGCTTGTGTGGCATGGTACAGAGTCCTGTTGCCAGACATAGGGTCTTCCAGCAGACACTCTTTGGACTCAAGGCAGCACTAGCTTCTCAAGGCACTTGGTGTAGGCCTCCGTGTTGAGTCTGAGGCCCTGTGGGAAGATAAACTGAGGTATAATGTCGATATCACTAGTGATCACTCCAAACACTTTCGTAATCACCACTAGACTCATCCAACTCTTTCCGAATACCCTGCACTGTCCCCAGATTGACACTCAAACGCTCTGAAATGTTCGTATCGCCGTTTCCGAATTTCTGACGGAATTAATTGTGTCATGGTGCTCTTTTTTCTCACAGACGGTGCCCAACTGACCCTACTATACTGTGCAGTCGGCAAAATCAAAAACAAAGCAAATGCGCGAAATTAAAAATATAAAATGGCGACAATTTACCCATCGCACCCTGTATGTTCGCTTCTATAATAAACCTGGTAGATATGGTCCGTTAGTTAAACAATAGTCGAATAATTCAACAGATTTCTAAATAGCTGTTTTCAATTTTACAGCCGGGAGAGGGTTGAGCTCGGCCAGACTATCTCGCCCAAGAAACACCACTTCCGGCTACAGTACATGTGGTAACCCTACGAGCTTGATGGGTCACGGGATTCGCGATCGATCGATTTTCAATGATCACACAATGTCCGTCAAAGATAAAGGTACGAAACAATGTCACATTTGATGCTATGCTTTTTCCAAAAATTAATTTCTGAATGCAGAAAAACATTAGGTACGACTCGAAAAATAAGAGAGCTATTTTTGAAAACTTTAAAAGAGTATTTATTCAGTTTGTTATTTTTAAATAGCTACAACTGAACAAATAATTGATCCACTCATGATAAAAATCCGTTTTATTTTCCTATGCCATTAGTTTATGCTTCACAGTATTAATTTTTATTTTAAAAAAAAAATCTCAAGGTGTCCATCACATACTCATTTGACTGCAGCTGATTTGATTTGAAGTCAGTTGGAAAAAATACATTTGAATGATCTGAAAAGAAATATTTGATGTTTATAATTCATTCATGTCAGACATGATGTTGATAATGTTGAATGTGATCCTTTAGTTTCAGTTTCTTCAAACCGGCTTTTTAAAATCCATAAAATACAAAACTGGTGTGCATTGGTCATGCGTGAAATAATCAAATCTAACTATATCTTACCGTATTTGAATGATATCCACAATAAAACTTGCGTTAAATATTTTTCAAAATTTCTCAAGCCTGACCCAAATCCCACTGTAGATCCCAGCTTAACTCCCAAACCTGAACTGCACCGTGTAAAACACGTGCGGTGATTCTGGGGTCACTTTTAATGCTGATTTATATGCCACAAAACAAGTTATTCATTAAAAGTAATTAATCGTTATATTTGTTAAATATTCCTTAGAAGTCTTATATTTTGTATTTTTCATCCTATTAAAAATATCAATTACAGTTCCTTTTACTCACAGGATTATTTTATAGATCTAGTTATTAACGCTATTGTAACATTGGATGTATAAAATAAAAAAGAATAATTTATGGCTAAGAATGAAAAAGAAAAAATGTCTTAACTAATAAACAGCCACAGCCAAAATATATCGTATTTCTGAAATAAATTTGACAGGGTCAGTTGACGGTCACAAGTTCCTACAAAAGAAACAAAAATAGGAAAAGCAGGACCTATCGGTGGCTTTTAATTGGCCTGTAAATTGACGAATCAGCAACTAGCAAGAACGTGAGATCCCTTCTTCCAAAATTCTCCAGTGAGAACTTTTTGTTTAGGAACGAACAAAAGGTTAAGACTGAGAAATCTCACTAACTTCACCCTCTTAGTCACTGACAAGTAATCGGTAGATATCACTACTGGGAACAATAAAAGGAGCTAATACACACCATATGCGTTGTGCTATTTATTACGACAAGGCAATTTTTCTCCTAGTGAAAGGATCGCTGATTTGACTTTCAGTAAAAAAACAAAAACACTGCAACTTAGGGTACTGGCCTGAAGACAGCTGTGAAAACAAAAACATTTATAGGACCGGTACGAACCACTACGGAACATCTATTGTTGTCGCTCAAACACAAATTTGAGCCACATATGATGTCATGAGAATGTCACAGTATTTTATTAGATAAATTTTGTTTGAGATCATCATTTGACTATACTGAGTCAAAAGAATTACAGTTCTGTCTTTTCCTTTGGCTTTCAGATTTAACAAATTAAGTCTTTGGCAATTTCAACCATGGAAAGATTAACAATCAAACAACGAGTTAAAGTTATCGAAGCGTATTACGAAAATGGACGTTCAAATTTCTAAATATACGACCCAATGATTCTGCTAGCAAAAAATGCATACCAAACAGTTATCTTTTGTGGATGCAACGGCTTTTCAATGCATTTCTGTTTGAACGTCCATTTTCGTAATAGCCTTCGATAGCATCGATTAATAATCAAACAACTTCGTTGTTTGATTGTTAATCTTTCCATGGTTGAAATTGCCAAAGACTTAATTTGTTAAATCTAAAAGGAAAAGAAAAAAAATCATTAAACGCTTAAACTTAATTCACATTTAAAATCGGTCCAAATTATTGGAACACTCTATGGTATTCATAGGATAAAAGTTATCTGCCAACCTGAAATGAATCAGTGTTATTATCACGGAAGCTCTTCTGATATTTTCGTTCTTGTTAAATTAAACGATATATTTGAGATACAGGTTAAGAACTATCCATAATAGAGTATAGAGGAAAAATTATACATCTAAATTAGAATGAATCGTATAAAATGTTGCGATAAAATCAAATATGAGGACACTAGTAACATAGGGAATAAAGATTTCGGAGACGTTAGAATTGATAAAGTACCACTGCAAATTTCGATGTAAAACTCAATACTTACTGCTTTGAACGTAACCGATTGCAAGCGCCTGTAAAATAAAAAAAGATACAATTCAATAAATAAAGCGGTGAGAGGAAAAGTAAAAAAAAATGAAAAGGAAATTCAAATATTTCAATTGACTGCCTGTAATATCGAAATGTTCTTATTAAGAAATAAAAAACACTCATACAATTCGACCGCCTGATTATAAACATTTGATTCAAGACTACAAAATTAAACGTTTCGATCGTCCAAGGGACACGTCATTGTGAAAATTAAACGTTAGCTTTTAAAATAGCTACTTCTTTGACAGTTGAGAGTTCAATCCTTGCGAGTGGAAAGCCACATTTTCTCTCAGTGAAAGAAACGGCCAAGCGTCACGAAGAGTAACAAATAGGCAATAGTCTTTAATAGTGGAAAACGAGTTGAGAAGAAATTTAACCCCGAATAAAGGGTTCAACATTCCATGAAATCTGAAGAAAGCCGGAAAAAGCAACGACTGAAACGTTGTTTGTATAATATAGTGAACCGAATATAGCATGTGATTTTGTTCTTTAGTAGTTCTCATGTTTGATGTACAAAATAACCTCTTAACAATCTGACGAAATACATTCTCAAACAGTCTCAGAATTATAAGTGAACTAGAAATTTATTGGGGCGGTCCAATTCTCAAAATCTGAACAGATGAACAAGTTTTTCTTTCCTTGGTAGGACCGAAAAATTCTCAGCATTTCAATATAATTTGTAAAATCAGGGATGTTCTACCAAATCTATAACTGTTGTTAACAAATCTAATATAATAAGTACGAATATGTACACTGGTCGGGGGTTAAATCTACACTCAAACTACAACCATGCCAAATATCGAATCGAATGCATTGTTCATAAGTTTTGTCGGGTCACAGTTTTCAGTTCTGAATAGTTTCATGTTTAGAACCAAACCAGGATTTGACGAGAAAATAAGTTTAAATTTAACATGGACAATTGTTTTATTTCGTACGTTATTGCATGAGAAAATCGCTCGAGTTATAAATCTTTTGTAGAGAAATCATATACAGTTCTTGTAGTTGCATGCCTACAGTTTGAATACAATTCTTGAGTACCGCATTTCATTTTGTCAATTCAGTGATGAGAGTCCCTGGGTAGGATTTAACATGGAGGCAATACATCTGCCAACTCAGAACTAGTACATATCTGTCCGTCTGACAAAACAGAAACATGAGTTTCTTTATATATGGAATCGCATTCTTAATTATTTTATTAAGGATTCATACTGAAAACATAAAAGCTGAACAGGTTTTGTCAATTGTTCGAAACATATCGATTTCATTTCACTCATTTAACAACTATCACACATATCGCGCTTTTTTTCTTTTTTTACCCTTTTGAGCCATAAATGTTTTTGGGATTGAAGTTGGGGTGTTTTCCCATCGACTTCTCAACGGTATATATATATATATATATATGTGTGTGTGTGTGTGTGTGTGTGTGTGTGTGTGTGTGTGTGTGTGTGTGTGTGAATAAAGACGAAAGGAAAACTTATCTTAGCCGAAGCGTTTATCAAGTCAAATCAAGCAAAAGTAAAAATGTTTTTAGTTTTTAAAATTTTTTTCAGTATAATAGACGCTCATAAATATTCATCAGGTTAACTGAAAAGTTTAGGTAAATTATGAAGGATGCTAAGTGACATAATTTTTTACTTTGTTTATAAACACTTGTTACAAAATAAAATCCTTGCATTTGACTTGATAAAATCCGTCAGAGGACGAAACACGTCGGCTAAGATAAGTTTACCTTTTTTATTGATATTGTTCTTTTACAGATACATTGTTGTTATATCTGAAATATTTTACGCACACACACACATATATATGTGTGTGTGTGTATATATATATATATATATATATATATATATATATAATATATATATATATATATATAACTGTATTGTTGGTATTTTTACTATAAAAAATGTAATTTTATACTTATAGTATTTTGATTTTGTATGGGGGTTCACTATTTGATTATAGTTAGGGTCGTAACAGGTGTTACGATCCCAGGCCAGAGTGTACTTGGGAACAGCAGCAATTAAGAGGTGGTTCCATGCTTCTCAAAACGTTCAATCTCCCGATCAGAGGCCTTGCTACCGGAAAATAAATCACAAAAATATAGAATGAGCTTGTGTAAACGTTGGCAGAATAGGGATTATAATATATAACAAAAATATTACTAAGGGCTAAAAAGTACAGGAAGTTGTGGAAAGCCATGATGGCTTACGTCCTTAAGGTACACAGAACATAGAAGAAAATTCCTCTGAATTCTTCCTTCATACTGCTTAAAGACCGCAATTGGTATCGTATGTCGTAATGTCATAACTTTTGCTTTCAGATACACAGAGATCATTTTAAGAAACATAATGATATTTATTTAATTCAGTGACAAGTGCACAGAAGGATAGCACAGCATTTAGAATACTTGACCAGAAGCGACATAGCGTATGGTTTCGTATTTGGAAATTTGTGAGGAGATAGTTACACTCTAATTCGCACAGAAAGATAAGTAAATTTTCACAAGAGAACAAAGCGCTCTTTTGCTATGGGACTTGTCTAGAAGATGTTATTATCATCTTTTTAATATTAATAAGTTCACAACAGTTGTAGTTCTTGATACTTATCCTATAAACTATCTTCTTTAAATGGTTAATGACTATATCACAGAGCTGAAACTAAACATCTTTCTTTGCCTAAAGGTGGAAGCACCTGTTTGGGTCCCAGTTATGGGCAAATAGTGAACCCTCTCCCCACACAAAAATTAACAGTACATTTTTATAAAAAAAAATGAGTAACAATAGATTTTTATACAAAATGGCAATCAATGAAACACTCAAAAATATAAATATACATTTTTATAAAATTACCAAAAAACATTTTATGATCTAGCAGAACTATGACACTATTAAGAGGGTGCTGGTAAATTGGAAAAAAAAGGCTTTCAAAAGAATCTGGAAAACAAGAAAGAAAAACGATGTTTTTCGATAGAATGAAAATATACTAATAACAAGAAAAACTAGAGAAACACTGTTTTCCATAAACAGAAAGTATACTGATAAGAAAGACAAAAAGAATGGGGGGGAGAGGATATTTGTCTTGCTTTTCTCTCCCCACCTCGGTGTTCGGGTATCGACGACGACGAGCGTAGAAGCCATCTGTGCATGATCAATTTAATCTTAAGTGATGATATTTTTATCAAGTGCCCAGTAGAATAGATTACATTTTAACGACTCCAAGTACCCACGACGACTAAGAACGAATCTCTAGCCCAAATTCGATCAATTGATAGGACTTGAAAAACAGGAATGGCATTGTAGTTATATTTTTCCTTCGTCTGCCTAAGACGCGATAAAATTTATTAAGAGGAATTTTTGTCACTTGTTGACCAAAAAGCCTGCGTGGAAAAGCGACAGGTCACGAATCTCAGATGCAGCCGACCACACAAGGACTCGATAAGAATTACCCACTGATGGAAATTTTGGATGATAATTGAATTTAGCACTTTGAGACAAAGAGAGAGTTAAAAGGCCAGGTGGAATTTCAGAGAAGATGGAGGAATTGCCTGCAGCCTTCGGGTGGTGATAGTGAAAGTCATCCACGCGAGATGGAAGGGGTTGGGCGGATTGATATTCTGCCAACACCACTCTTCGCGGGAGGGATTTCCCCAAATTTGGTCAGGCAATCAATTTCCCGACCACCTCATGCCTGGTTTGCGCGAGGGTCTATAAATACAGACGAGCGAAGCAAGAGAGATAGTAGTACGATGTATTAGGAGAAGAAGGAACCAGACCCCGCTCGAATTGCGGGTTGCGCGAGAGACACGTGCCAGTTGGTTCAAGAACCGCTTTGCCAAACCCCGATTAGCTTCTGCAGAAAGAACTTAGACTCCGGCTTTATTCCAGACTACCAAATACACTTGAATGGTCAGTTCGAAGAAATGACAGTGGAATAAATAAGACTTTTACCAATTTAGCGAATGTGGCTAGACATATTGTCACGGAGTATTAAGATGGAAGGTGCTGGAAATCTGAATGCTGTTAATCTGTTGAGTAGAACGTTCATTGTATGAACTTTTGATATAAAGTTGTTGTGTTACTTTGTTTCTTGTGACATCATTTCGAAAAAGCTACCGGTCAGCGACGTTGAGTATACAACTTGGCCTTCGCCCGCCGTGTGATCTAAAACAAACACAACGTGGGGCAGGGTGGGATTGACTAACTCCAAGGCTGGTCGTAAGGATCAATCAGGGACTCGCCCGGTTGCTGATGACGGGATTGCGACGTCATAGAACTTTTATTATCACAGTATGGGATATCTAATAATAAAATTGATTAAAAAAAAGGAATTTAAATGAAATCGGCTAGATAAAAAAAAAGTTAAATTTAAAATTCTTAGCATCACTCGTTCGTGCGCATGTGTTGTTGTAGCAACATAACAAATTTAGTCCGATGACGTTCTAAAGGACGAAACGCGTTACAAGAAACCTTTTTCCACTTTGTCACACATTTTCCCCCAATTTTATGATCGACAAACTATATATCTAAAATAAACATACCCTGAAATCATAAAATTACATATAGAATATTTCGGCATTAAAGAACCCATAGAGATGTTGATATGTCGTTAAACAACTTACCAACAATGTATATTTAAAGCAAAATGACCAATAATGCATTTTACCTCTAGTTGAAGCAATAACATTGTGTTCAAAATATTTAGATTTCGGTATTAAATAACCCATAGAGATGTTGATATGCGCTAAGCAAAATCAACCAAATTCTTTGTCTATTGTTGCATTGCTGGCGTTTTAGATACTAACCACCAATTAATTATTTATCAATTAACTGGCAATAACAACTTATACGAATGAACAATACAATATACTATACATCGTATAATGCAGTTCATAAATCAATAAAACACTTAGCATTGAATATGGTGTTTCACTTAAAGACAGAGGATAATATAGTAGTCGAAATGTTATTAGAAAAAAAGGATA